AAGATGCATTATATAAAGGTACAATTCCCAATGAGAAATGTAATTGTGTTGTATACCTACAATGTACCAATAAAAGAATTTAATACCAAAAAAAAAGTAACCTGCCATTGTACCACATTTTAGGTAGAATTGAACTTACCTTCACACAAGGATTTTATATGTAACTTCTGCTCCATACAGTCAGGTAGCCTTTTAGTTGATCCAGAATCATAAATAAAATAAGCAGTCATCCTTCAACAACATTATCCAATTGAGAAATGTGGAAAAGCAGTCAACACAACAATCTTCCTGTCAGCAGCTATATTATTAGGCTGCAACTTTCTAGTTTCCTGTATGTTGACAGGAAACTGATCTCCTGGTGGAGAAAGAATAAGACAACATATACTCACAGGAGCATTTCTTCACCCCATTAAATATTAGGCAGAGCCAATGTGTCAACACATAGTTATTTCCATGGCTGTGAGAAATGTGAAGTCACAGATGGGCACGACTTCCAGGAAAATTCTAAAACGAAATAAACAGATGATGATTTGTGAACACTTAGAAATTAAGAGGTGATTGATCAGGATCAGCCTTATTTCACTAAAAGATCATGATAAATGGCATTGTATTTTCTTTTTTAGTTACTATATATGCCGGTAAAGTTGAAAATTTCCATAGATAAAACTTGTCCAAATTTTAGTGACATATGAAGTCATTATATCATCATAGACAAGGTGAAAAAAAAAAGTGAGTAGAGTGAAACTGCAGTTATGTGGATCTGTGTTTTCTTGAGTAGTTATACTAAATGCTTGATGAATACACTGACGTGAACCTGGAGGAAGGTCCCTAATAGTGTACCACAGGGCTCCATTCTGTCCAGCATTTTATTAATGCCTGGAATAAAGATTCAGACAGCCCTATTATCAAGATTGCATAGTATACCAAGCTGTAAGGCTAACAAATAACAGAATCTGAAATAGTCAGTAGACAGAAGAGAGGATCAAAACAAACAAAATACAGTCTCTAAAACATAAACAGAAATTTTTACTTTTAGGATTTAATATAAAGACAAAATCTGACTTGATGGACAATCATGTGTCAACTAGATTTATTAATTGACCACAGATTTTGTTTTATATGAGTTCTTAATAAAATATGGATCTTAAAAACAACAACAGAAAGCTAATAGATATGTGCCAATTAACATTTATATTTCTCCTTGGTTATCAAGGACTTTTATTTTCTTTATACACTTCTGGATTTTCCAGACTTTCTACAATGAACATATGCTACTTTTATGAACAGAAAATACTATTCTTACCATTTAAAAATATTCAAATGACTATCTTATGGAAGTTGGAGCTGGCTACTCTGTATAATTTAAAGGCTGAAATTAGGAAAGATTACTTGCAGTCACAGGAGCCAACTTTGAGCTGAGTATCAAGCTCATAGCAGAGCAAGGTCTGTCCCTGAAATGTTCACAGAAACACTGGCTGACTTCAGAGATAGAATAGCATGGTGGTGAAATGTCTGACTCTGCCAAACTACCTAGGCTTGATTCTTAGCTGTGCCACTTACTCAGATAAGACATTCCACTATTTCTCCATTTACACAAAGACTATAACCTTAACTGTACTATGCATGTGGTTACTAAGGTTAAATGGGTTCACGCACATAAACAGTTTTAAGATTATTATCTAGTCTTTGATCAACAAACATGATTATATTAGTCCCCCATCTTGTCTGTGGGAAACATATTCCAAGACCCTCAGTGAAGGCCTGAAACCACAGATAGTCCTGAACCCTAGAAATAAGCATTTATCAAACGCTATGGCTGTAACATTTGCAGTTTGAGATGTGACAGAAAAACCAATATGAATCATTTCCTTCCCCACAATTTTAAGAGTAAACAATTTGTTCTTATTATAGACCTTAGAAACCTCAGAAATATATGATTTTTTTTTCTTTTCTTATGATAGAGATCTTTCACCTTGTCTTGGTTATTTTTCTTGTTGCTGAAGCAAAATACTCAACACCCACAAGTTAAAGGAGGAAATGTATATTTTGGCTCACAGTTTGTAGAGATTTCAGTCCATAGGTGGCTGGCTCCAATGCAGGGTGGCAAGACAGAGGAGCATCACAGAGGAGAAACAGTCCATGGCAAAGCAGGAAGGAGGCAGCAAGTGGCAGTAGCAGCAGCAAGTCTCCCTGTCCCTTTTATCCTTCTAGGCTACAAGCCTTTTGGAGGTGCCACCCACACCAAGTGGGGGCTTTCCCATTATCCACCCCTAGAACTATGCTAAACCAATTAATAGATTAATCCAGAACCACACACCCTTACTACCAGTATCACACACCATGATCCAGCCACCTCTGAAAAGCCCCACCTATGTGCAGTTGAGGCTTTGGGAGGACATCTACCTATAAACCATAACACACCTTTTCCCTTAAAGAAAACTTGTTTGCAATTTCTCTTTGCATATTTGAATTGCTAACATCAATACTCTTATGCATCAAGGCCATTATTAAGTGAAAGGTTACTTGAACACAAGCATTGTAATACTGTGACAGTAGATCTGATAACTGAAACAGTTACTAAGTGACTAGCAGATGGGTAATGTAGGAAACAGGGAAAGGGGATGTTACTAGAAACCCTGTCCTTGTCTCCTGTGAGCCACAACAGCACAAGGTGAATTAAAGAATAAAGACAGAAAACGAGACTTAGAGAAGAAACTGGGGCCAGAACCCATCCCATGGATGCCAACAGCCACTGCCTGCACAGGACCATGCCACCCAGCAGAGGTTCCAAGGGGAATATAAAGGCCATGGTTATGAGCCCCAGAAGATAGAGCAGAAGTGAACAACAGAGAGGGCCTATCTGAGGCTCTTCAATGAAATTTGAAGCCCACTGGGAAAGTGAAGAAAATCTCTTCAATAAAAGCACACTGGACCATCATGGTTGGTAAGCTGGTGGGATCAGTACCTCTCATAGAAACCCACACTTGCTTAGGGAGAGAACAGCTGGAACCTGCAGTAGAACCTTGCAGAGTTTAATCCTGCAGGAGGTCAGGGACCTCAACTTGGACCTTGAAGCCAGAAATCAGCCTGAATCTCAGTAGATTACAGCTGGCTTGTTGAGACTAATCAACTTAGACCTACACACTGCTGCCCACATTGTCTCTGCCCATAGCAGAGACATATCCTGAGGGAGAACTTTTTTTTTTGGTTTTGTTTTGTTTTTATTTTTTTTTTTCTTTTCTTTTCTTTTCTTTTTTTCTCTTTCTCTCCCTCCTGTCTCTATATTTCTCTCCCTCCTGGCTCTATATTTCTCTCCCTCTTTGTTCCTGTTCCTGTCCCATTTTGAATTGTTTCTCTCTGTCCTCTCGACTGTCACTATTACAGGAAGGTGAATAAAATTCCTAGCTTCCCTATTGTCATCAGTTTTTTCTGTAATTGTCTCTGTTCTTTTGCTGTCTTTTCCTCCTGTCTTCAACAGGTTCCCACAATTTGTGTGATATTCTCGTGTCCTCTAGCCTCACCTCTAACCTTTCCATCTCCCTCTATCTCTCTATCCCTCTCTCCCCAACCCCTTCTAAATCCTTATCCCAAAGGGAAAATTTGCCATATTGAAGGGTTTACTTACTACAAACATGTTTTGGGTTGGCCCTAGATTTTGATCTAGATCATGCAGTTAAAGGTGACAAATTAACTACCACAAATTGTCATTTTCTAAGCTGTGTTTGATGCTGTTGTTGATGCTGATTGTGTCAATTGGGCTAAGGTGTCATGATTGATCTAATCAGTGGTCCTTCCTGGTATACTGAAAATGAGAGCGCCTAAGAGTCATTAGAGACTCAAAACCTAGAAAGTCCAGCTATACCTGGAAGATATCTCTGAGAAGCAATCACTCCATAGGGGCGCTAAACACAAGTAATAAAGATACTCACAAAAAGAAATATGAAGTATCAGCCCAGGAATCAAAGCAAAAAACAACACCAACAACAGAAATAAAAATGAGAAGACATCTTGGCAGGACACAAACTCAGACTTCCAGATCACCAAAAGCAAATTCTGGGGGAAACAAGGTGGAAAAATATGATAACCACCTGGAAACCCTGAACTGATAGCATAGGAAGTAACAAAACAAATGAATGCAGCTCTAGAAAAATTCAAAATAGAAATAATCTCCCAGATAGCTGCAGAGATGTTGAGCAGAGTGAAAGACATGATTAGAGACTCTTGAACAAAAACAGATAAAAAATAGATAAGCTCAGGACCATGCTGGAAGCCACGAATGCACAGCATAAGAAAGAAATGGAAATCATGAACACCCAATATAGGAAAGAAATGGAATCCATGAAAGAGATTCAAACAGATATACAGGAGATTAAAAATGCCATTGAAAGTATTCACAGCAGACTGAGTGAATGTGAAGATAGAATATCAGATATAGAAGACAAGATTGTGGTTAGTGACCATGAAAACAGAGATTTCTTAAAAATAGAAAGGGACCATGAGAAATCAATCCAGCAGCTGCTAGATGATGTGAGGAAGAATAACATAAGACTGATAGGAGTCCACGAAAAAGCAGAAGAAAGTACAAATGGCATTAAAAAAAACTGTTCACAGAAGTAATAGAAAACTTCCCAGACAGAGGTAGAGAATTTGACATACAGATAAGTGAGGCATAAAGAACTCCAACTAGCCATGAACCAGAAAAAAATCTACACCTAGACATAAAATAGTCAAGATCCCAGAAAACCAACAGAAGAACAAAATCCTACAAGTAGGGAAAAGAAACAAATCACCTATAGAGGAAAGCTAATCTGAATCACAGAAGACTTCTGAACACAAACTTTCAAGTCAAGGAGAGCTGGAAGTAAAGTATTTCAAGCAATAAAAGCAAATAACTTCCAACCTAGACTGTTGTGTCCTGCAAAATGATCTTTCAAAATTGATGGGGAAATTAGATACTTCCATGACAAAAAACACCTGAGAAATTTCATGAACACCAAACCAGCATTACAAACAATTCTAAACAATATCCTAGAAAAAGACAATGATGGTCACAACTCCATCAGGCCCAACAGACCAAAGCCACCAGGCAAGGCAAGAAACTAAAGGGAAAGGGTGAAAAATAAAAAATATACAAGAGCCAACAACAGTAAAACATCATGACAAGGATGAGTCAATATTTATCAATTATAACCATCAATAGTAATGGCCTCAATTCACCAATCAAAAGAAATAAACTGGCAGAATGGATTAAGAAACAAAATCCAACAATGTGCTGTATACAAGAAACACATCTAATTCAAAAAGAAATTCATAGACTTAAAGTAAAAGGATGGAAAACAGTTCTCCATGTGACAGGAACCCGGAAAAAACCACAGGTAGCAATCTTATTTGCAGACCAAGTAGATTTCAAACCAAAACTAATTTAGAGAGACAAAGATGGTCATTATATCCTTGTGAAGGGAACAATCCAAGAGGAAGAGATGACAGTCATAAATATATATGCA